TTGTAATGACAAATTCTTTTAGTTGCTTTCTTACATGTCCTGTGAAATGACTGGCAGACTCTTCCATGAAGCAGGAACCCTGAAGGACTGTCTCACATTCTTTAGGCAATTTCAGCAGTCATTTCTCTGTGGATACTACATGTCCAGCTCATACAGCATAACATCAAGCCATTCAAGCAAGAACAGTTTCTTGTACAAATCTCTAATAAACTCCATAAGGAGATTCTTCAATGCCCATTTTCCTCTTGAAGTAATTGGTTCTGCCAGGAGCAGACATGTCTCATGTGATGAAAAATCCTAAGTTATTAAAACATTTCAAATGTCATATTCTCAAGGTCTCTGAAAGATTTGAAGAATATCTATCTAGCTGAAATGCATCTCTATATAGCTAGAAAACCTAACTAATATGAGTAGAAATTTGACTATTATAGATGATTATCTATTGACCTATATTTCTTAATTATACATTACATTTTAAATGTGCTGCACAAACGCAATACCTTAATCAAAAGAACAGAAATATACATATAATAAAATTGACCTAAAATTTCTTTCAATAAACCTAGATCTGTACTAATGCAAATCTCTATAGAATATCTCTTTTTAAATGTAAACAAACATTTATAAACAATATTTGGGAATTGGGGCATAGTTCTCTCTTTTGGTGGGTGAAGTAATTTTCTGGGTTTGTTCATGACAACCATAGACAAAAATTCTGAAACCAAGATATCTTTAAAATATATATTCTGGTTTAGCTTAGCAGCCAATATAATGAATGTCTCTCTGTACATAGCTCATTCACAGTCCAAAAATTCAAAGAAAACATAACAATATACAAAATCCAGATTCTGTGTGTATATTCCATCTTTATCTGGATTTTCTTTACTCCTTGAAAGCTATGTCTGCCAGTACTCTGTCCCTTTAAAGACTTGGCTTTATTTTTTAAATGCATTTACTTCTTTTGGTAACTATTTATACACTTTTTCTTCTCTAGTCCATGCCTATGTTTATTTTTTAAATACAATGTATCTTGTTTAAAGGTCTTTTATGTCTGAATCTGTCCTATTGTGTATCTGAAATCCTTTTCTGTACAGAAGTGCTTCTTGAAATATTAAGTGACATTACCAGGGCTAAAGTTGCTTTGCCTTTGGCTCCACCCAGTCCAACATCGCAAAGGTTCATTTATTGCCTGTGAGAGACATTCTCTCTGCCCCAGATTCAGGGTCGGGTTGCAGAAGGTCTGTGTTTCTATTAAGCAAGTTGTAGCATTCTGTTCACAAACCCCGTTTAAATGCTCCATAGCTGTACCTCCTGAAAGATCCAGAGTTCATGCTAGCAGCATGGTCCAGGGAGCTACCTTTTCAAAACTGTGCATTTTTCTCCCTGCTACCAATAAAATCAGGAAAACCTCTCTTAAAGGAACCATGGTGTTAAGACATGCTTAACTCTGTTCTTTTTTGTCTAAAACTCCTTTCCAAGCTTTCTCAGGTTTTATGCGGATTTAGCTGGCACATGTTGGCATGCCTATCTGTATTAGGAGGCCACTGGTTACTCTCCTGACCACATAGACTCCCAAAATTACCACATGTAAACCATATTAATTAAATCACTGCTTGGAATATCAACTTTAGTTTCTTATTGGCTAGCTCTTACATCTTAATTTAACCCATTTTTATTAATCTATCCACTGTCATGTGACTCTAATTTACTGGGTAAAGTTCTGTCTGGTCTTTGTCTCTGGTGGGGCTACATGACTTCTCTTTGACTTTGTCCTCTTTCTCCCAACATTCAGTCTAGCTTTCCCTGCCTAGCTCTACTCTGCCCTATCACAGGCCAAGGCAGTTTATTTATTTATTAACCAATGACAGCAACACATATACAGAAGGATTCCCCCACATCATACAATCACTATGACAAAAGAAATACATGATTCCAGAAGAGTTCATCAAAATAAGAGAAGGAGCACTACATAACAATACATTGTGCTCAATAATAGTGCTCAATATTAATGAACTTAATTCTGAAATAGAAGTACATAAAGTAACAGAATGGATAAGAAAGTATAATCTTTATGTTGCATTCAAGAAACACATCTCTTTATCAAAGGTATGTGTTGTCTTTAAGTAAAAATGGAAAAGGGTATTCAGAGTAACTGAAACAATAAAGCAAGCAGACATGACTATTTTAATATATGAACAAAACAGACTCAAAATAAAAACTAAATGAATAAATTACAGAGTAGGTTTACCCTTGAGAGCTAGAAAAAGAGACAAAATTCACTTCAAATTAAACATAATAAAGTAAAATTTAGAACAAAAATAAATGAAATTCTATGCAGGGAAGCAATAAATAAATCAGTAAAACTGAAAGGGTATTTTCCAAGTAAAAGTATGGAAAATATCCCCAAAAATTGCCACAAGAAGCAAACAGTCATGACTATTTTCATATCTGACTTAATACATTTCAAACAAAAACTAATGAGAAGAGACATGTAAGGATACCACATACTTATTAAAGAAACACAGCAATCAAGACTGTTATTACCTTAACATTCAAACATCAAATAAAAGGGTACCTAATTTCATAAAGAAAACACCACTATGGCTGATATATCATATTGACTTTAATGCAGAGAAAGTGAATGACTTCAATACCACACTCTAATCAATAGACAGATCATCCAGACAAAACCAAAACACAGAAATACTGGAGCTAAATATTATCATAAACAAAATGAACTTAACAGACATATTTAGAACATTCTGCACAAATGCTAAAAACTATAAAGACTATACTTCTTTTTTATCAGCCATCGAATTTCTATTCAACATTTTCCACATATTAAGATCAGAATAAGTCTCAACAGTCAGAATAAATCTTTATATCCTTTCTGACTACCAAGTATTAAAGCTGGATATCAGCAATCATAGAAACATCAGAAAGTGTACAAGCTCATGGAAACTCAGCAACTCAATGCTGAACATAAATTGAGTCGATTGTAGCTAGAGACTGCTCATTTCCTGGCTGCCCAGACCTGAAATAATCACACAGAAACTATATTATTAGAGCACTGCTTGACTAATATCTTAGGCTTCTTATTAAGTAACTCTTACATTTTAAATTAACACATTTCTATAAATCTGTGTATTGCCATGTAGCTGTGGTCTACCAGTAAGGTTTCATCCAGCATCTGTCTCCTTTGGAGACTACATGGTACTGTGAAAAAAGGTCTTCTATTCTGTAGAGATTTGTCACTTGTAACTGCCTTAATAAAATGCTGATTGGCCAGTAGCCAGGCAGGAAGGTGTAACACCCAGAACAGGAGAATTCTGAGAAAAAGAAAGGGTCAGTCTGCAATCATCATTCAGACACAGAGAAGGCAAGATCAGAATGTCTCACAGATAAAAGATACCAAGACACGTGGCTAACACAGACAAGAATAATGGATTAATGTAGCATGCAAGAATTAATATGAAGCCTGAGATAATAGGTCAAAGAGTTTATAATTAATTTAATCTTCTGTGTGCAGGATCTGGCAGGACATAAACTTGTGTCAACAAATGGCACCAACATGGACAACTTAATCCACTTAAAAACTGAGAGAGTTTGGGAAGGAATTCTAGACACAAAAAGAACAGTGTTAAACATGGCTTCTTGGTAGCAACATTTTCTCAGGTGGGTTCTGTTTTCAAGAGGCAAGTATGTCTCATTTAAGAGAGGCTTCCTGACTCAGTTTTAGCTGTAATAACCTTGCAGTTCTTTATAAGAGGTGCCATCACAAAGCAGTTAAATGATGTTTATGAATGACAGCATGCTTCTTGGTCGTGGCAGGGACCTTGAAACTCCATAGAGTTGTGGAAATAAACATGCTTCCTGTCAGTACCTCATCAATGAATTTAGACTCTCTGAAAGCTAAGGAATGTGGTGGATCCAGCCATCAAAGTTATTGCTTTAATTTTAGCCATATTGCTTAGTAAATAAAAAGCTCATGTGGTCAGAGAAATAAAGATATACAGTAAGGATAGATTCAGATGGGCATAAAAACCTCTAAACAGTTTACATTGAATTTAAAAATAAATGTAGGCTTGGGAAAGAAAAGAAAAAAAAGGATAAAGTCCATAAAGAGAGAGAGAGAGAGAGAGTAATTGGATGTGGTGATACACACCTTTAATCCCAGCACTTGAGAGGCAGAGGCAAACAGATCTGTCTCAGCTCACAGACTGCCTGGTCTACACAGTGAATTCCATGACAGCCAAAGATACACAGAAAAAAATCTATCCCAAGCAATCAAAAATTAAAAATAAAAGAAATATAGTTTAAAATAAAGCCAAATAAAGATGGAAATATACATAGTGTTGTGTCTCCTATGAGCACTTCTGTGTTTTGACACATATTACTAGTTTATTATATTTGACTTAAAATTGCCAGCAATTTTTTTCATACAATGTGACTATAACATTCTTGTTATGTAAACATGCTATAGCCTGATTGGAATTAAACTCTTAACAACATGAAGCTGAGTCTCTGTCACCCATAGCAGCTGAGCCTGCAGCCAATCAGGGTGGAAACTGCCAAAATCTCATTCACTGTATTAAAAAAACTAACTTCAGGTCATTTCTGTGTTTCAGTTACTGCCTTTGATTTTCAATACAAGAAACACATTTGATGAGGTTTAACATTTTGAACCATTTTTAGTCTGGAGGTAATAATTAGTAGATAAAATAGAACTGCCAGTAACCTCAACAAAACCAAGTAACCAAATGGAATTCTTACAGTAGAGTGGACAGAGTAATGTTCTGGATATTTTTTTTATGTTTAATTTACCGTTATCAATATCTCTTTCTCTGGTGTGTGTGTGTGTGTGTGTGTGTGTGTGTGTGTGTGTGTGTGCGTGTGTGTGTGTGTGTGATATGTTTGTGCAGGGGCAAACACATGCCATGGCATTCATAGGTAGTCAGTGAATAACTGTGTAATCTGTTCTTCCCTTCTATATTTAAAAGAGTCATGAAGATTGAACTAAGGTCACCAAGCTTGCATGGAAATCACCTTGGCCAACTGAGCCATCTATCCTTTTCATCAGGCAGTGAGGCTTGTGAGTATCCCTTGTTCTGTCTCTGCTCTTCCTCCATTGAGTTTTCAGTCCTTAGGAGGATCAATTACTTACATTTTCTCATTACTGTGACAAAGTCCCTGAAAATAGAAACTTAAGGAAAGAAGATTAAACTTTGTCTCACAGTTTGATGGTAAAGTCCACGGTGTCAAAAGGGTGATGGTGACAAGAGCGAGAGACATCTGATCATATTAAATCTATCGTTAGAAAGCAGAAAGACATGCTGGTTCTCACCTCATTTTCTATTTTTATTCAGGTCCATGACCCTAGCCCATGGCATTGTGTGACTCACATTTTAGGTATGTTTTCATTCCTCAGTTTATCTGATCTAGAAACTCCCTCAGAATTGTGCACTGGGTTCTGTCTCCTAGGCAATTCTTGATCCTACTACATTTCAGAGTATTAGCCTTTATAGGAGGCATTTGAATCTTGAGTTTCTGCTTCATAAGTATGCATAAAATTGACCCCTAAAGCTAATCCATGGTGTGAGAGACCATAAAACCTTTGGAAGTCTTGTAAACACCAAGACTGGGTCCTGGATGGAAGCTTCAGTAACCAGAGATACACAAAAATGGTTTCCATTCAAAATACAAGTTACTAAGCTAGAAATCAGAGAGTCGTGGGACCAAGTGGGGCCTAGAATTTCTGTGCTAGTCAGAATCAGACAAACTGTTTCAAATTTCCTTAGATTATCAATTTATATAGAGATTATTTTGCTAAAAATTTATAATTTTTGTATCTTTCTTCTGTGCTCTGTGGGCTCCATAGCTTTAGGCCTGTGACAAAGCTGGAACATGCTGATTTGAGTGTGATGTGGGATTTCCCTCTGTATGCTTTGATTACCATGAATAAAGAATTTTTTTGAACCTATAGAAGAGCAGGGTGGGACAGAGCAGTTGAAGAGGGGAAGACTAGACTGAATGATGAGAGAAAAAAGGACAGTGTCAGAGAGCAGCCATGGAACTACTAAAGATAAATGCTGGAAATTTTACTCAGTAAGCAACAGCCACATGGCAATGCACAGATTAATAAAATTGGGATAAATTAATATAAGATTTAGCCAATAAGATTCTAAAACTAATGGCCCAAGCAGTGATTTAGTTAATATGGTTTCTTTGTGATTATTTTGGGACTAAGTGGCTGGGAACAAACAATCACCCTCCCCTCCTGCAACAAATTGGCTTCCATGTGACCAACTAAATTCATTTAAAACCTGAGAAGGCTTAAAAGGGAATCCTAGACACAAAAGAACAGAGTTAAGCATGATTTGGTAGAAGCATTTTCTTGGGTGGACTCTGTTAGAAGCAAGCAGAGGGACAGCTCATTTAAGAGAGGTTTTCCTGATGCGGTTGTAGCAGAAAAAAAGTCAAGCCATCTTAAAATGCTGGCTTTCTGAGTCATGCTGCCATCATGACCTCTGGCTCTTTAGGGAGACAGAGCATTTGAATGGGGTTTGTGAGCAACATGCTAAGGCTTGTTTGGTGGTAATATGGACTAGCTGTGTACCTAGAAATGGGTCACTGTGAATTGTTCTCAGAGGCAGCAAGCACTCCACCATGCTGGACTAGGCAAGACAAGCAGAAAGTACCATATATAGCCTAGAAATGATGCAGCTTAAGATTTTAGAAAGTAATTAGCATTTTAAGAAGTGCTCCTGATCAATAAAGAATTACAGATATGCAATAAAGAGAAATTAAGATGGAAAAGATCTCTAAATGGGTCACAGTTTTGGGCAAATATATGTAGGCTTGGGAGAGATAAGAAAAAGAATATAGACAGCTATAAAAGGAAGTAAATGGTTTAAAAATGGTAAAATGTTTAAAGAGACAGAGTACAGTCATAGATTAAAAGGAGTAAGAAAAATAAGACGCTTAAAATGGAAAATTCACAAAGAACCTAGATTATGTATATTATTGTGATTACTTTGAATTTTTTGACTGTGAAGGAACTAAATACAGGGAGACATTTCATTGAATGGAATGCTAAGCTAAACCAGCATGTATATTATAAAGGTATCTGTACTTTAGAATTTGGGTCTAAGAATAAGGTGCTTTGGAAAAGAGGTTCTTCTTTTGTTTTCACAGCGATGAGAACCTATGGATTGCTTCCAGACTATTATTGTTTGATAGACAAAGACTCCCAAAAAGGTCACATTGAATAGCCCTCAACAATTACTTTGCCCAATAAACAGCAAGAAGCAATATGGAAAAAATGATGCCCATATTCTCAAATATTGTCTATAAATAGTTTGTTTGCATTTGAAGGGAATATGATATAGATATGAATAATTTGCATTGGTATGGATCTTGGTTTATTGATATGTATATTTCTGTACTTGATTGAGGTATTGTGTTTGTGTAGCTCATTTAAAATGTAATGAAGAATAGTCAAGCTTATGCTCATGCTAGGTTTTCTAGATAAATAGAGATATATTTCAGGTAGATAGATAATCCTCAAATCTTTCACTAACCCTCAGAATATGGCATTTAAAATGTTTTAAAAGTTAGGACTAGTCATGACAATAAAACACATCTGCTCCTGGCAGCACCAACTACTTCAAGAGAAAGATGGGTATCGAAGAGGCTCTTTATGAAGTTTGTTATCCATTTGGGTAAGAAATTGCTCTTACCTGAACTGCTTTACTGGACTTGCAGGACCCAGAGAAAAATGATTGCTGAAGTTGCCTAAAGGTGAAATGGTCTTTCGAAGTTCCTACTTTATGAAAGAGTCTGCCAAATATTCTGCAGGACACAGAAGAAATTAACTGACAAACTGCCAATATAAGCAGAACTGTCTTTTAAATTATCTGCTCCATCAAAAAGTCTGCTGGATACTATGGGCCTATGGGCTGAAGATTGGATGCCCCAATGATACAGAGGAACTATGGGTGACTGTTCAGGCAGTGAGATGCTCTGTTATTTCTAGAGTTTTGGAAATTGCAAACAATGCACCTCCTGTTTACTTAGGGAATATTATATCCTTCTGGAGTCTTTGATGAAGTTGAAGAGTAGATAGTAACAATATAGTTTTACTTAGTTATGACAAGAATTAAAGTAGATTGAACCTGATAGGAGAGAAAGTGGGAAGTAGTCTACAAGACATGGGCACAGGAGACCACTTCCTAGGTAGAACCCCAGTAACACAGATAATAAGAGCAACAATCAATAAATGGGACCTTCTGAAACTGAGAAGCTTCTGTAAAGCAAAGGACACTGTCATTAAAACAAAAAGGCAACATATTGATTGGGAGAAGATCTTCACCAACCCCTCATCAGACAAAGGTCTTATCTCCAAAGTATACAAAGAACTCAAGAAACTAGAAACTAAGACTCTAATTAACCAAATTAAAAGATGTGGTAGTGAACTGAACAGAGAATTCTCAACAGAAGAAGTTCAAATGGCCAAAAGACACTTAAGGTCATGCTCAACCTCCTTAGTGATCAGGGAAATGCAAATCAAAACAACTTTGAGATACCATCTTACACCTGTCAGAATAGCTAAAATCAAAAACACCAATAATAGCCTATACTAGAAAGGATGTGGAGTAAGAGGAACACTCATCCATTGTTGGTGGAATGCAAACTTGTGCAGCCACTATAGAAATCAATGTGACGGTTTCTCAGGAAACTGGGAGTCAACCTCCCTCAGGACCCAGCAATTCCATTCTTGGAAATATACCCAAGAGATGCCCTATCATACTACAAAAGCATTTGTTCAACTATGTTCATAGCAGCACTATTTGTAATAGCCAGAACCTGGAAACAACCTAGGTGACCCTCAATAGAAGAATGGTTAAAGAAGGTGTGGAACATATACACATTGGAGTTTTACTCAGCAGTAAAAAACATCATCTTGAATTTTGCATGCAAATGGTTGGAAATAGAAAATGTTTTACTGAGGGAGCTAACCCAGACCCAAAAAGAGGAATATGGTATGTAGTCACTCATAAGTGGATTCTAGTCATAATTAAAGGACATTGAGCCTATAATTAGTAATCCTAGAGAAGTTAAATAAGAAGGTGAACCCAAAGAAAATCATATAGTTATCCTCCTGGATATTGGAAGTAGACAAGATTGCCAGGTAAAACTTTGGTGCCCGGGGGTGTGGGAAGTGGATGTAAGGGAAGATGGGTAGAGAGAAGGGAGAAGGGGAGGATTCAGGAGAGCTTGGGGTATGGGATGGTTGGGATGGAGGAAGGGTGGATATGGGAGCAGGGAAGTAAATATCTTAATTAAGGAAGCCATTTTAGGGTTTGCAAGAGACTTGACTCTAGAGGGGTTCCCAGGTCCAAGGAGAGGTCCCCAGATTGTTCCTTGGGCAGCAGAGGAGAGGGTGCCTGAACCAGCCTTGTCCCATAGCCACACTGATGAATATCTTGCATATCACCATAAAACCTTCATCAGGCGATAGATGGAGATAGAGACAGAGACCCACATTGGAGCACTGGACTGAACTCCCAAGGTCCAAATGAGGAGCAGAAGGAGGGAGAACATGAGCAAGAAAGTCAGGACCATGAAGGGTGCGTCCACCCACTGAGATGGTGGGACTGATCTAATGGGAACTTACCAAGGCCAGCTGGACTGGGAGTGATGGAGCATGTGATCAAACTGGACCCTCTGAATGTGGCTGGCAATGAAAGCTGACAGAGAAGCCAAGGACAATGGGACTGAGTTTTGATTCTACTGCATTGATTGTCTTTGTGGGAGCCTAGTTTGTTTGGATGCTCACCTTTATAGACCTGGATGGAGGGGGAGGACCTTGAACTTCCCACAGGGCAGGGAACCCTGACTGCTCTTAGGACAAGAGAGGGAGTGGGAGGGGGGAGGGGGAGGGAAAAGAGAGGCAGGGAGGAGGTAGAAATTTTTAATAAATAAATAAATAAATAAAGGGAAGTAAGTGATGCCTTCCTGAGACATCACTGCATCAAGCTGTGTTCCTTGCATCCCTTTCTCTTCCCCTTAAAAAGCTAAAGCTGTAAACACTACATAGAAACCCCCAAGCTATGATCTGTAGTTGAAATCTGATCCATGGTTCTATGCTTGAAAATAAAGTTTTATCGGAACACCCACAAAAAAGTAGATATAAATATTGTAACTGTACTTCTTGCTTGATATATGTTTTGTTATATATAATTTTTCCAAGTTAAAGTTCAAAACTTTCTTTTCCTTTAAACAGAAAAGATAAGTGATGTGGGATTTCCTTCTGTATGCCATGATTACCATGAATAAAGAATTGCTTTGCACCTATAGCAGAGCAGGGTGGGGCAGAGCAGAGCTAGATGGGGAGGACTGGGCTGAAT